TCACTGGAAGCCCTATTGAAGCAAGTAGAATCCTCCTTCCAAGGCCTCACAAAAAAAACCGCCCATTGGTGCATCTCTCTGAAACTAACAAAGAACGGCGAGCATCGCGGTCGGGCACAGAAAAGGCCATAGAGAAGGAGATTGGATTGGATTGGATTCCAGTGCCAAATACAAACAAACACGGGGCGCCTTTGTTTGGGGACGGCTCACGGCCGTCCAATGTCCGGGGCAAAAGTGTCTACCGGCACACACGAATCCTTATGAACGACCGGCCCCAGCGACCCCAATGACAGGCAGCCTTCTCTTGCAGCAAGGCTTCAGCCCCAACTTTTGCGGGGGCTCTTTCAGAGGGGTTGAGGCCAACTTCATTGCCTGGAATTTGGCGGAACTCCCCGAAACTTCTTAGGTGGATCGCAATGGCCATGTGAAAGATGGCTGCAGCTTGTGGATTGCTGAATGCTGAGTGGTTCTCATGTTTGTCGCTTGGGAAGGAGACACAGGCTCTAGGCGATAACCGCCAGCCACCGCTCCTGTTGGTGCAGCTGGAAGCACACTTCGCTTGGTTACAAAGAAACCAACTAGTGGCAGTCGATCTATCGAAAATTTAAGGGCTACAACTCTGTTATAACTTTCAAAGGTACCTGGGTCATTTCTATTGCCCAATTATGACAATTGGCCCCACTCGGCGCTCAGCTCCTTTTTGTCTCCCGTTGAGCCGCGGTTGGTTGCTGGTTCCCTGGCTGAGCAACCGCATGACACAAGCCCTGCCGGGCATGTCAGGTCGCCTGACATGGATCCCCCTTTACATTTCGGACCTGCAAATGGCAAGCGGTGCTGGTCATTTGTGGGTGACCTTCGACCAGCACTTCATAGTATTTTTGTTGAGACTGGCAAGTTGCTCTGCAAGTTCCCAACGGGAAAGGTACAGGGATTGAAATGGAGCTAGTTGGTTTGGACACAACATTTGGTGCGAGATGTCCCTAGGTCTCAGGGCTTCCCGAAGGGACATGGCTCTTCAAGTTGCTTTGTTGGGGTCCGTGCTAAGCTCTAAGAAAGTGCATAGATTACAAAAAGGGAAAAGAAGGGCTTGTTTTCTCGCCAGTCAACAGCTTCGAACTGCTTCCTTATTGTTTAAAAAGAAACGCATAAATCGGGAAGGCGAGTGTTGCCAGTACCAGCTTGAGAGGTTTGCAGGTACGCCCTTCAAGTTGTCAAAGGTAAATCCGGAAGATCGAGGCCTCGGCCATTTCGTCAGCCAAGGGATTGTTCGCACTGGGCCCAATCCTGTGCGAAGCCCCGTGAATTGGTGCGAGGCGCTGTGGCACTGTGGCCTCAATTGAACATGCCTCTACTGTACAATGGCCAATGGCCTTCGGCAGATTCGGGAAGGAGTTTTCTGGTGAGGGAGGTCACTGATTGAGGTATCCCCAAGAGACGGGTGCCTCGCTCTCGTCCTCTCGTTATTTTTCCCTCCGCAAAACACATCTCTCTATCCCAAGTTCAGACCCTCCAGACTGACAGTCTTCCAACCTTTTTCTTGGGGGAAGGAGTTCCTTCAATGGATCAACCTTACAGCGTGACTCAAAGTGGACCAAAACCACAATCCGGCCAAGCCCCTTGTTCAAGCCTCAGCCTCCGTCGTGCTCCTTTTGAATAAAAAGCCGGGTCTAGCTTTTGAAACACATTTTGCCCAGTCACTCTGAGACTCAACTTGTCAAGTCGAAACTCTAGCTGGTTATGGGGGAACTACGTGGAGCAGTCATTGGACATTTACAGGCAGACAGAATGGAGGTGACAGCTCTGGATAAAGCTCACCAGCCGTCATCAGGCATCTCACCGACAGCTCCTTCCAGAAACCAGAAAACATTTGCACCGTCCAGTTTTGCGTTCACCAGGCTTGTGGGAAATGACCACTCCTGCAATGCCACTGGAACATCTTTCCCAATGACTCCCAATTCAATGACTCATTTTTCATTTCGAGGGCAAGATTCCTTGGTGTCACAGAAGTGGAAAACGTCCCACAGCGCGTGATCCCACAACCCTGGTTTGGACTTTCAAGAGTTTAAAATTCGAGCAGCAGCTAAACACCCCAAGGTAGAATCATCTTGTCCATGCTCGGATTTCCATCAATGGAAGACGGGCAAGTGGCTGGCTGGTGTGCTGGCTTGCTGGCTGGCTTGAATGCTGGATTGATTGCTTCCCGAGGGTGATTTCCGATGATGCTTATTCTGGCGCTTCCTTTCTCAAGCACTTGGCGTCTCTTCCCCGGGATTTTGGGTGAATTGGGCTCCTGCAAAATGATCCTAAAGATCCAAGAGAAGAGGAACAAGCACGGCAAGCTCTGGCTGGATTGCCGCACAACTTGCGCAGCGGCCATGGGAAGGGAGAAAGGTTTGCTTGGGTTGTCCATGTCTAGTGGGGCAACAGACTGCCCTTTCGCCACTTGCCAGGTCTCGTTGGCAACATAATTGTCCAACTTTGCCTCAAGCTCCATGTGGGGTAGATGTTCCTTCTAAGCTTCATCCTCGAGTCTTTTGCTGCTGCTCACACTCCCAACTGGGAGTGTACGATTTTGGTGTCCCTGTCCCTCCTGCCTGGAGCGAGCGCCAGAAAATGCTCGGATGAACGATGTCTTAATCTGCGAACTTTCCTATTACACCCTGGGGTTACAGGCATTACACTCAAAATAAGCTAGAATCTGCAATAGGAAAACCCTTGGACTTCAGCGAAGCACACACCGGCTAAGGTGTGAAAGAATGAGAGTCTGAAGCCACCAATTTGGAGCGCTCTTGGGGGCCCTCCAAAATTTGTTTGGGCCAACAGGTAAGCTGGGGCAAAGAGGGGCTGGAGCGTCCGAGCTCATGAGGCCTAGATCGCATTGGACAAAAGGCAAGACATCCTTCCCAGAACTCTGACTTGCAAGGTGATCTATCCCTGCAACTAGGCCGCCCAGGGCTTCAACAGTAGCGATTTTTGTTCCATTCCCCCCACTCCCCGGGAGGGGCAAATGAGACTAGGCTGACAAGAATACTGGTCTTGGCTTCTGGCCGTCGCTCACTCCGGGTAGGTTGTAGGAACCCTATGCCTTATAACTTTCCTATGCACAAAGCGCCAGGGGCATTGGCACAACGGCCGACATCCCGCCCGTGAGATTCGACATGAGAAACTTCGAGCCATCCAGACAATCCTCGCGACCAAAAGAGATCTCATTGAGATCAAAGCATGACACATGTTAGAAAGGCATTGAAGCTGCGGAAGGTGGCAGGCACATCGGAAACACACACACACACACACACGCGCGCCAATTAACTCACAAGCACAAAAAACAAACAAACAAACAAACAAACAAACAAACAAACAAACAAACGGTCGCACGCACGCACGCACGCACGCACGCACGCACGCACAAACAAACAAACAAACAAACAAACAAACAAATAGGAAAACAATCGAGCAAACAAACAAACAAACAAACAAACAAACAAACAAAAACAAAAACACCGAAAAAATAAACATGCGTATATATATATACATACACAAACACACCAAAACACAAACACACAAACACACAAACATACACACCACAACCCAAACACACACCCACACACCCACGCACCCACGCACCCACGCACCCAGGCACCCAGAGAATGCTCTTACAGGGTTCAAAGGGATGCTGGAAGGCTATGATAGGCTAAGCCAAGCGTGATTCAAACAGTCATCGTAGTCCCGACTCAACCGTTCCACCATTTAAGGGCAAACAAACCTGTTTGACGACCAACAAAAACCCTGTGATGGGTAGAAAGCATATTCAAGAGACCCTAACGGCGTGTTGTTCTCCGCGCAGACTAGCAATAAGCAAAGGCCGGCATTCCTCGTTTAAACCGAACCTAGCTGGCTCCTGGCAGACCATGTTCCGCAAGAAAACAGATATCGAGGTTTGGGACCCCTTTGATGCGGAGAATACAAGCAAATCCGTGATGTGGGAATTGCATCGTCAAAAGGCAATTTCTGCGTTTCAAACAAGACGATAAGGTCTCAATAGGCTCTGTCGCTGCATTTCACGGGCGGGTTGAAAGCATCAACCGCCCTCAATGCAAAGCCGCGCTGAAACGGCCGCTCAAGACCTCCTCGTATCCCCGGAAATTCTGGGGCTGGACGGGTTCTATGGTCACTGTGGGTGCCCCCATGTTCTCCAAACTGAGGACGAATACGACCAAGGAAAATTGTTGTCAGTTGCTATGGCGCCGAAAACAAAACACTAAAGCACTTGTGGGTGATCCTTGACAAGAATCTTGATGGTTGCCTCTTGCAAGTTAACGACAATCCTCTGACCCTGAACAACCAATTGTCGCTGGAAATATCTCAATTCACCAATGTCTATCATGCCTTGAACTCATAGCTGTCAAGTGGCACTCCTTGTCTCTGCATAAGGGTTGGATCCCCATTCACTTCGCTCGTTCATTCGAACATGCATAACGCACTGTCTCACACAACTCTGGGTGGTTCTTTGCAACTTCCCAAAGCAAGAATCCTTCCCTAAAGGCCGGTTGGAAGGTACTGCATTCATCCCAAGACGAAGAAATGTCTGACCCGTTGGTCTCAACCAATGCATCTCGCTTCCCTCAGGCGTGGCTCTCGCGTCATACTTGAACCATGCAGGCCATGTCTGCGGCCGTGCGACCTTCCCCAGTAGGAACCATGGAATGCTGGTGGCGGCGTGTTTGAAGGATACTCTCTTGATAGCGGCATCGTTCCGACATGTTAGTTTTTGTCCAGAATGAGGGTGGACCCCCCAGGTCCTCCCCATACTAAAACCAACTACCAGTAACCCTGCATCCCGGTCCAGCCCTTGAGCCTGCAAGCTTCCACCACAGCGCCGGTTGAAAAAAACCTGGGCGCTGCGCCTGAGCTGAGAAGGGACTCCAGGCGACACCAACCGGCACGTAGTGCGCCGGACACGAAGCGAGCGCCGGGCAGCCCTAAGCCGGCACCGGAACACGTCAGCGCCAATTCCATGCATCCCTGTCCAGCCAGCCAGATGGTTCCTGGCTCTCTTGCTCCACGCGGACCACCGTCAACTCAGGAGCAGGCTCCTGGGAAGCAATGAACATGGTGCAGATTGAAGCTGCATCACTGCGACCGAGGCTTTGTTGCTTCAGAATCTCCAAGCAGGTGTCATGCACTTGTCCGAAGACTCTGTTCACAAAGCACAATTCCCAAAGGCCAAGGTCTTGTATCATCTCCGTGAAACATACCTGAATCCCGGGAATTGAGCACCTGCACTCCAGCCATCCAACTTTGGTCAAAAAGGTCCCAGGAAACTGTTCGAAAAATCCGCCGACCCTCTGCCTCCCAGCCTCCTGCAGAGGGGACCGGCGTGGGATGCAACTGGAAGTGATTGGAATCAATGATAGTCTGGGGGACACGCCCGAACGCACAAAAAGTGGATTTCCAGGACCGGTCCCGGGACTGGTCCTGGGACCCTGGTTCTGCTGTTTCAGATTGCTTGTAGTCAGCCAAAACCGGTGCTGGGACCGGTCCCGGGACCGGTCCCAGGACCGGGTTTGGTCCTGGGACCAGCACGGTCCTGACTGGTTTTGGGACCGGTCCCAGGACCTGGACTGGACCGCTTTCAGGACTGAAGCCGGTCCGGGATCAAGTCCTGGTGTGACCGCTGGTATCGGGTCCCACTTCAAACTGCTGTGGTGCCCTCCAGACACCTTTCCGGACTAGGGTCCCAGGTCCCAGTACCCTGCGACCGGTTGAGGGGCACCGACGGCCTTGTTTCTAGGACCAGCTCAACGTGACTTGGGCACAAACCGGCCCGTGCGGTTATTGACGGACGGGCTGCCATCTGTTTGACTTTTCCGTTAATCCTTGTGGTAGTAGAGGATCCCTGGATCTATTCTGCAAAAGAGTCCAATACGTCGAGTCAAGCCGCGCCAGACTGGGACCAGCCTGTCCCGGCGGTCCCTGCCAGTTTCAGGGCGACCCCGAAATCTGTACCTGACCTTCCTCACCCCGCTGATTTGTAGAAAATTGACAGTGATTAACGCACCCTTTGCTGAATCATCACTTCTTTGATCATCATCACCCGGGGCCCAAACCCCTCAACACAGAATGTGTATCCAACCTGTCTTCCATTTGCTTAAGTCAACAGAAACAACTAGATTCCCTTCATCACCAACAGAGACAATACGACATATCCTCAAGCAAATGGAAGCTTTCAACTTTACCCAACAAGAAGAAGCACCAAACGCCACTGCAACCGACCACCCGGCCCGGCCAAACCAGTCGCCCGGACTGGTCGGCTCGACTCCCGGTCGCCCGGACGGTCCTGACCCTTCAGCACGGCGCCCACGTTCCTTGGCCCGGCCAAAAAGACGGCAACTGCCTTCTGCCGGCACGGGAAAAGTGAAGCGGATGTCCCCAAAGGGCGGCAAAGACCTTCTTTGAAGGAGAGGAAAACCAAGCCACCCGTTCAATCCCCCTTTTTGGGGGAGCTGACCGTGTTGGAGCCCAAACAAAACAAGTGACACGTTCAATTTCCCTGTCAAAAACCGAACTTGAGAAGGTTTCGGTGTCCCTTTCAAGAACACAACTTGAGAAGGAAACGTCAGAAAACTGGGCTGCCCGCAGACGTCCCGCTAAAAGTTTAGCTTACGGGTTAAATGTGGAAATCCAACCAACGAAACCAGCTAAAACAATCTAAAAGCTAAGTTGAACAGAATGGCCTTCGGGAGCCACCAAGTTTATCACTCTGTGTTTTGGTGAAAAGAAACAGGGCTTAAATGTAGCAAACCCCCATTCTCTGCATCCAAAAACAAGGGGGCCGCATAGAAAAATGGCCGTGGCTCAAAAAACCGGTACCCAAAATGGAGCCCTGGTAAGTGGAAACATGGACCAAAACCTGCGGTTTGCCCCTCCGATTGTTTCATTTCGAGCCACACTCAAATCCAAAAAACTTGCTGGTGCTCAGCGGCGAAGGAGGGAATGAACCTTTGGATTCCCTTAAAGGAAACCAAATCGGGGAATCCACTGATCCTTACAGTATGCACCTGAACATTGCAACTTGTAAATGGTGGGTTTCCCCTTTATTTTGGTGTTGAAAAAGCGCAACATGTTTCAAATGGTGGCAAAATGGATGTATCTTTTCTCAGGAGCCCTGGAATCCTTTAGCCGCCTGGAAAGACCCCCACTTGGACATGGCTCTGGCCGTCCAAGGGCACCGTGCCCACCACCAGCTGCTGCTCCTTGGCCGGGATGCCCAGCTCCTGAAGCAAGGGCACCGCTTTCCTTGGAGGTTCTAGGGGGAGAACATAACCCGCCAGTTACCTCAAGGAGATTCGAAAAGATTGGGTCAACCATTCTTTGCAGGCTTTTTGTGTCCTTTTGGTCTTTTGGTGTCCCTCCGTGCCTTTGAACCACCCGAAAAGATCAAGGATCTGCTGGTCCGCGACTTTGGACGCAACCAAATAAGACTTTCTGGAGAAGCAGGCTGGGTTTACGCGCTAGCTCCGACCATGATAGGCAGGGGCCACGGATGTTCGTGCCCCTAAGCACCTAGCAGTTGGTTCCAGTCATCCTTGTTGAGGAAATCTAGAGTAACCGTGGATGAACTCCTGAGGTTGCCAAATTACCGCGACTCGTGCAGGACAAACAGCCATGGCTGAGTCCCTGTTTGCTCCGTCGCTCCTTATAGCTTCAACCACCGGCCTGTGAGGCGAGGCCAATGAAAGATCCCTTAGCTTTCTTCCGGGCTCCTCGTGGACACAAGCCATGGCAAATATTGGGGGCTCTCCAACGGTCAACGCGCTGCTTCCTGCCAAACAGATTCCTTTTCAAGTTTCAAACACGCGCAAGGCAATCGGTCGCTCCTCCTCTAACTTCTGCCGCAGCCTTGGATGTCGTTGGCATTGGGGTGCTGTGCCGGGCGGAGCATTTTGAGGCGGGGTGTTGGCAATGCAGATTTGAAAGCATACGCGTCTGCAGGTCCACGTGCATCTGTAGAGCGATCCGTCGTTCTTTTTTGTAAATGAAGATAATCAAGTAGTCATAACATCCGTAATCATATTGAGCAGTTCATGGACGTGCACAAAAGCCTCTCTCTCCACAAAGGCTTCCCGATCTTCTGAACGCTGGCCGGTGGAGAGTCTTGGGGGGTTGATACGCCATTAAAACATGTGGCAGTAGAACGAGGACTGCCCATCGGTGTCCTTTTGGCAAAATAGATGGCCCCTGATTAGGAAACAACCAGGTCAACCAGGCCATCGATTTTCTACAAACAAATAGATGGCCCCTGATTATGAAACAACCAGGTCAACCAGGGCCACCGCTTTTTCTACACAACACAGCAAAAAGGACACCTATGGTACTTGCTTCTGCCAAAAGTGAGGCTCCTGACTTTAGAGCACGGAGGCGATGGTCAAAACTCGGGCAGTCCCAGAACTGTGAGCGTAGCTATGGCTTACTTCATGGAAACGGCCGAATAAAACGCGTCTCTTACATCCTGATGTGCAAGTTGCTTGTAAACTGCGTCACTTTTCCATGACCAGCTTGAGCAGGGATCCTTACATTATACACCTGAACATTGCAACTTGTAAATGCTGGTTTCCCCTTATGCGCCGACATTGTTCGGCGTGTCGGATACCTAAGAGAGGACTATTGGATACCTAAGAGAGGATAGAGGATAACCCCCCCCTTAGTCCCCCCCCGGGACACGTCAAATACGCATGGTTTTTCGGTCGCCAACCCCCCCCCCCCCCGCGTACCGCGCGGCAATTTGATGACGTTCCACTAAACGTAGTCTTCAGGGAGCGGGTCTGGAGAAACGGGGGTCCCAGGCTCGAATCCTCCCGCCGCCTCTTTCTGCCGGCTGAGGTTTTGTGCTGCCTTTTGCGGAAAACTTTGAGACACACGGTGTTCGGTGTTTTTCCTTTGCTGACACCATTGAAAAAAACATTGTGTTTTCCGATTTCCTTGACAATTGGCACCAATTTCCCCCCAATTTCCCCTAATTTCCCCCAATGCTTCCCCGCAAATTGCGCCTTACTTTCTCACCAATTCCCTCCCACTTTCCTTTCAATTTCCATCCGACTTCCCCCCAATTTCCCCCCCAGTTTCCCCCAAATGTCCTGGCAAATTCCCCAACCCCAGCTTCCTTCCAAGTGTCGCCCCCAATGTCCTTCGTGTCGGATGGAGGATGGGGGAACCAGAAGAGCATACTAGGGGGACACAAGCGAGAGGAAGAAGGAGACAAGCTACTGTGTTATCAAGCCTAGGCCACCTATGGGAATACCTAGGCAAGCAGCAAACCGTTGACTACCTTCTCACACTGCTGTCAGTGATCTTGAAGTCTGTAGCGGCGGAGCATGTACAAGTACACTCATGCACAGGGTTGGAACCTGAATCCACACCCCCCTCATTTGAGATTGAAAATGTCGGCAGGTTTTGCAACCCGCTTTGATTCCATACGCACATCCATTGCACGTTGAAAATGGACATTACACATCCGTCGTGCATGCAAATTGCTACTCTCTCAGAAGGGCTCCGTTGTGATGACGATTGCGTTCACCACCTTCCGCTAGTAGACCAGCCGCGCGAACTCCAGGTCGACCACTGCCAACTGCTCCAGTCTGCTCCAGTCCTGACTGCCCCAATCTCTCCAGCTTCGGCTTCTGGCAGCGGAGCTGGAGGCGGGCTGAGCAGGTTGCACAGGTCCGCGGACACGGTCCTCGGCGCTTTGCCTCTGGCTGCGCCGTGCGAGCTTCTTCGCATCGTCCTCCGCCTGGCAGCAAATCTCCTTGACTTCAGCTTCGAGGTCCTCGGCTCCGGTTGCCCGGAGCGTAGGGAACTTCCCGCCAAAGGTGACAAGGTTGCGCATCCCCGGGAGGATGTTGACCTGGGCGACGAATTGATGAAGGCTCAGCATTTTCCCGTTATACGAGAATAGCCATGGAAACGTATGCAGGCTGGCGTCATAGTCCCCGACCTTGCCGCCGGTGACGTAGACAGTCCTCACGTAATGGAGACCTCGTTTTCCATAGCCTGGCCCAACCCCGAGAAGTCGCTGATCGTAACTCCGTGGAAATTCGGGGAGGACACAAAACCTATAGATAGACATTTGGTAGAGGCTGTCGCGATTGTGTCCTGGCTCCACCATGCGAAGGGCAAAGGTCGCGTCTTTGTCAAACCGATCCACCACATTGTCATATCCAAGCTTGCGGGCCCTGCTATCGTAGTTCTTCGAAGCCTCAATCTGCTTGGCTTCAAAGGATGTTGCTCCTCTCTTCGCAACATCAGCATAGCCCTTGAAATCGTTGATGAGGAGCTGATCAACCGTCTTGCCAACGCGGTGACTGACCTCCTCAAGCATCTGCGTTCTCCGCTTTGCGGCTCTGAAGAGCTGAACGTCATTGTTCTCCTTGGTGCTCCGTCCGCAACGCTGGCACTTGAGCTGCCCCTGCATCATGTCCTCGCCGCAGAGGCTGCAGTCCGTGTAGTGGACGGGCATAGCGAAGGTCTTGAACCTGACGACTGAGGTGTCGGCCGCGGGTTGCCCCGGGCGAGAGGCGGCCGTGTCCTCATTCGTCTGCTCTTCTTCAGGATTTGTGGCCCTGTTTCCCTCCGCATCGGTCTGAAAGGCCTCGTCTGCAGTCACAGTGACGGCTCGCCTTGCGGCGAGCGTGTCGACAGTCGTTTGATTCTCCAATGCCTCAAGACGAAGGGCGTTTCTCCAAAGCACTTCACCTGTCTTCGCATCTGTGTAGTACAGAATTGGGAACGATGTCGGCGGTCAGCATGACGTCAGACTCCGAAAGGAAAAACACCACTCCGAGCTCAATCGCATACTTGAAGTCGATGACAAGCTCAATGGGCATTGTTGCTCGAACTCCAGCATTGTACGATGAGCTCTCTACCGGGTGGATGGAGAAGTGGCTCTGTGAGCGGCCACTCTCCGTGGCCCCTCTTGCTCGTGCGATGGTATAGTTTGCCAGGGCCATCATCAATCGGCGAAAGCTGCAGTCCGACCTTGCGAGCGTCCTCCGGGAGAAACTTCCCGTATACGATGGCCTTCGCAAGTGCGTACTGGTTCCGGCTGATGTCGCCATCAGCATCAATGCTGCTGGCGTGTCCCTGACTGGCACGAACCTTGACGACAACCCACTCCTGGTTGTTCTCGGCAGCCGAAGGATGCTTGATCGCAAGGACGGTGTATCTGCATTTCGGATCGAGTGCAAAAATCTTCAACAGCGTCTTGTACCCGGTCTTGCTGCGGGTCTTTCTGTTGAATTTGTCACATAGCTGGTGAACATCGACAAAATAGTTCTCATCGAAATCGAGTGGCCTCTGTTCTTGAAACCTGCCACGAAGCATTCCAGATATGGTTGTGCACCGATCAGTCGAGGACGACTCTCCCTTCATGAAGGTGGGCACCTTCAGGATCGTGCCCGGGAGAATCCTCGCCTCGTACTCCTGGCCGCAGAAGATGACGGTGCCGCCGGGCTTGCCTGGCAATGCGCTTCCGGCAGGGGCTGCCCCCCGCACATCCGATGCCACCGCAGCAGTCGATGCTTTCGCCTGTACCTTTGGCGATGCTTTCGCGGTGAACTTGGGTGTAGCCGGAGCGGCCTTGACGCCAAGCGCAGCCTCAGCGGCACTCCCTTGCGGGAGTGCATCATCGTCATCATAGTCGATCTCCTCGATCTTTTCGAGGATGCGGCCCTTCGCGAGCTTGATCGGACGTTGAAGGCTTTCCCATGACTCAAGCGTGAGCTTCCTGTTCGCCTCATACTCAGCCAAAGTGCACGGATTGAGTCCAGCTTCGGCGTCATGGGAATATTCAAGGTACAACCTCACGTTGTTGAAATCTTCTTTGTGGGACTCAACGACAGCGACACACTTCATGATGTTGAACAGCGACCACAACCACTCCACCGTCGTCTTCCGGTTCTCGATGGAGTCCACCATGTGGTAGTTGTCAAGCCTGTCCTGTCGAGACACCAAGAATGTCGACTCCTTCTTGCGAAGGAGCTTGTGCTTGTTGAGCGACTCATCCAACAACTTTTCCATGAACTGGTTGTAGATGGGCGGGAGCATATAGTACGAACCCTCGGTGTTGGCCAAGATCGTGATGTTCGCAATGCCCCACCAACTCCTGCACTCCTCAAGCACATCGATCGCCTTGGCGCACTTGTTGAACAGCTCGGGCCAGTGACCGTCTCCGCATCGGTATGGCCATTCGGGCTCATCGCAGATCCCACCGCTGCCAACGAGCTCGTTCCCGGACCAGTACACCGTCACGTAGAAGTCGTGGTCCTTAAACTCAGGACGTTTCTTGAGGTCCTTCATGGCGCTCTTCACTGTCCACGTGAGAAATGTGAGGTCCTTTCCCCAACACATTCTCACCTCACAGTGGCTACAACTCGTGCTGCGGTTGTAGTTCATGTCCTGCGCCAGGTCCGCCCTCTTGCGGTTCTTCTTGCCACCGCTGATGGGGGCGAGGCTGGAGTCACTCACGACGAGGTACACGCTATTTCGGCCACAGGTTGCCCCGGGCGTGATGCGGCCAAGGCCTTTGTCATTGACAGCGCAAAGCGTGTCCATGAGCTCCGGCGCGTAGTCAGCCGCCCACATAGCGCATGAGCTTTGGAGAGTGGCTTGTGCTCCGAGGATCTGCTCCATTGTCTTGCGGTCCTCGGGCCTCGTCTCCTGGAACAGAGTGTTCGACGTAAAGCTCGTCATCACTCCTCGCCAGTACTCCAAGTTGCCCTCCGAATACTCCCCGAGGTTGTAAGCAGCCATTGCGGCTACCGGTGAGGGAAGCTTAAGAGCAACAAGTGCACGTTTTGTGGGTCTCTGAGCCGAGCTATCGGTGACAACCTGTTTCATGCTGTCAG